TGAGACCTGTCCAGGTGTCCCTGTGATGGACTGAGACCTGTCCAGGGTGGCCCCCGCCTCTCACACAGTGATATCTGGACATGGCAACAGTGACCCCCATGACCCAAAAAGAAAGAAGCGGGTAAAGATGATGGATTTTAACATGTTCATATATTAATGCTAGTATTCTAGTATCATTGAGTCCTTGTTCTGCTTCTACAGTGTACATAGTACATACACATATGTATATTTATATATCCTGTCCTTTCAAACCAGCTGGTCGAAGCAGGTGGCCGCTCGTCCTGAGCCTGGTTCCAGAGGTTTATTCCTGTTAAAAGGGAGTTGTTCCTTTCCACTGTTGCCTTTGTGCTTGCTCAGGATGGGAGACTGACCGTGTTGGACAAAGGACGTTTCTGTTCAGTGCCTGAGACGACTTGTGTTGTGACTTGGGGCCATATAAATAAACTGAACTGAATTGTGTTGATATGTCCTTACTGAGTGGCTGCAGTGTTTTGTTCACTATCTGATGTTTTACAATATAAATAATTAAGGACGACTGCTGGATGCACGTACCGTAGGCCACAGTATACTTACTGACATCTCTGAAAGTGCCTCTGCCTGCCACCTAAGATGAAGTTCTGAATGTTTTGTGTGACTGAAATGTAACTGGTATTTAAGGATTTACACTGGGAAATGTCAGGGAAAACTCAGGGAATTGTGTAATGCTGGAAATCCTGAAGATTGGCACCAGCTCCAGTGTTCCTGCATAGAGAAACTGGTAAAGATGGAGGTCTTGTATTTGGAGTTGAACTGGGACCTGTTTCAGACTGAGTTGTATGGAGTGCATGTACTTACGTTTGACTACTTGTTAATGTTAAGTGCCAGTACAAGTATTGAGCCTTCTTACAATTACTTTGAAACTATATTTGAAAATCACAGGATTGTTGTGTCCTCAGCATTTACCTTTTGTAAAGACCCACCTGGTGAGCGTGAGGTTAGGACGCTCATGCTTCAGTCTCTAAATTCCCAGGATCCTCTTCATCTCAGTAGCTGTTTCATGGTGCCATTAGCAAACTCTCTGAACTCAGTGTTGTGCTGGCTTTTTATGTTTTGATGAAATTGCTTGAGTTGAAAGATTTCAGCATAAGCAATTGTCAAAATTGTCTTGACAGTTTTGCTGAGCATCATTTTCAGTTTGCGTTATTGTCGTCATCATTCACTTTAAATACCTCCACACTGCTGCTGCTTTTCTTTCATGCTTTGTCTGTTTTGATGGCACTTACTGATGGTTGTTGGGTGCTGGAGACCTGTCCAGGGTGTCCCTGTGATGGACTGGAGACCTGTCC